CCCTGCGCACGCCCGCCGCCTTTCGATCGCTCGGCCCCACGGCTGGCCCCATTCCCTGTCTTTCTTTGTTTCTGTTTGTTTTCGCTTGTCCGTCGGCTGCACTGGTCGCCTCAGGCTCGCCCGCCGCCTTTCGGTCGCTCGGCCCCTCGGCTGGCCAAATGCATTGGTTTTGTTTGTTTTTGGTTGTTTGCGGTTGTCCAATCGGCTGCAATGGTCGCCCGGGCCCGGCCCCCCCCCCTCCCGCCGCGTTTCAGAGTCGCTCGGCCCTCGCTGGCCCAATTCATGGTTTTGTTTGGTTTTTGTGTGTTTTTCCGCTTGTCCGTCGCTGCACTGGTCGCCCCAGGCCCGCCCGCCGCCGTTCGGTCGCTCGGCCCCTCGGCTGGCCAAATGCATCGGTTTTGTTTGTTTTTGTTTGTTTTCGCTTGTCCGTCGGCTGCACTGGTCGCCCTGCGCACGCCCGCCGCCTTTCGGTCGCTCGGAGCCCTCGGCTGGCCCCATTCCCTACAAGCGAAACAAACAGAAACAAAGAAAGCCAGGGAATGGGGCCAGCCGAGGGGCCGGGCGACCGAAAGGCGGCGGGCGAGCCTGGGGCGACCAGCGCAGCCGACGGACAAGCGAAAACAAACAAAAACAAACAAACCCAATGAATTTGGCGATCCGAGGGGCCGAGCGACCGGAAAGCGGCGGGAGAGGCTGGGGCGACCAGTGCAGCCGACGGACAAGCGAAAACAAACAAAACAAAGAAAACAATTGAATTCGGCCAGCCGAGGGGCAGAGCGACCAAAACGCGGCGGGCGAGCCTGGGGCCACAAGTACAACCGACGGACAAACGAAAACAAACCAAAACAAACAACACCACGGAAATGAGCCAGCCGAGGGGCCGAGCGACCGAAAAGCCGCGGGCGAGCCTGGAGCGACCAGCGCAGCCGACGGACAAGCGAAAACAAACAAAAACAACAAAACTAAGCATTTGGCCAGCCGAGGGGCAGGGCAGCGCGACCGAAAGGCGGCGGGCGAGCCTGAGGCGACCAGTGCAGCCGACGGACAAGCGAAAACAAACAGAAACCAAACGAAACCAAGGACTGGGGCCAGCCGGGGTGCCGAGCGACCGAAAGGCGGCGGGCGTGCGCAGGGCGACCAGTGCAGCCGACGGACAAGCGAAAACCAACAAAAACAAAGAAAACCAGCGAATCTGGCCAGCCGAGGGGCCGAGCGACCGCGGGGCGGCGGGCGAGCCTGGGGCGACCATTGCAGCCGACGGACAGGCGAAAACAAACAAAAACAAACAAACCCAACGAATTGCGCCAGCCGAGGGGCCGAACGACCGCGGGGCGGCGGGCGAGCCTGGGGCGACCAGTGCAGCTGACGGACAAGCGAAAACAAACAAAACCAAACCAAACCAAATAATGGGGCCAGCCGAGAGGCCGAGCGACCGCGGGGCGGCGGGCGAGCCTGGAGCGACCAGCGCAGCCGACGGACAAGCGAAAACAAACAACAACAAACAAAACCATGAATGGGGCCCGCCGAGGGGCCGAGCGACCGCGGGGCGGCGGGCGAGCCTGGGGCGACCAGTGCAGCCGACGGACAAGCGAAAACAAACGAAACGAACAAACACACAGAAATCGACCAGCCGAGAGGCCGAGCGACCGCAGGGCGGCGGGCGAGCCTGAGGCGACCAGTGCAGCCGACGGACAAACCAAAACAAACAAAAACAAACAAAACCAAAGAATTGGGCCAGCCGAGGGGTCGAGCGACCGAAAGGCGGCGGGCGAGCCTGTGGCGACCAGTGCAGCCGACGGACAAACGAAAACAATCAACCACAAACAAAACAAAGGAATGAGGCCAGCCGAAAGGCAGAGCGACCGCTGTGCGGCGGGCGAGCCCGGGGCGACCATTGCAGCCGACGGGCAAGCGAAAACAAGCAAAAAACAAACAAAACCAAGGAATGGGGCCAGCCGAGGGGGCGAGCGACCGAAAGGCGGCGGGCGAGCCTGGGGCGACCAGTGCAGCCGACGGACAAGCGAACACAAACAGAAACAAACAAAACCAAGGAATGGGGCCAGCCGAAGGGCCGAGCGACCGCGGGGCGGCGGGCGAGCCTGAGGCGACCAGTGCAGCCGACGGACAAGCGAAAACAAACAAAAGCAAACAAAACAAAAAAATGAGCCAGCCGAGGGGCCGAGCGACCGAGACGCGGCGGGCGAACCTGTGGCAACCAGTACAGCCGAAGGACAAGCGAAAACAAACAAAAACAAACAAAACCAGTGCATGGGGCCAGCCGAGGGGCCGAGCGACCGCGGGGCGGCGGGCGAGCCTGGGGCGACCAGTGCAGCCGACGGAGAAGCGAAAAAAAACAAAAACAAACAAAATCAAGGAATGGGGCCAGCCGAGGGGCCGAGTGACCGCGGGGCGGCGGGCGAGCCTGAGGCGACCAGTGCAGCCGACGGACAAGCGAAAACAAACAGAAACAAACAAAACCAAGGAATGGGGCAAACTGAGGGGGCGAGCGACCGCGGGGAGGTGGGCGAGCCCGGGGCGACCAGTGCAGCCGACGGACAAGCGAAAAAAAAACAAAACAAAAAAAGACAAAACCATTGCATGGGGCAAGCCGAGGGGCCGAGCGACCGCGGGGAGGTGGGCGAGCCTGGGGCGACCAGTGCAGCCGACGGGCAAGCGAAAACAAACAAAAACAAACAAAACCAAATAGTGGGGCCAGGCCGAGCGACCGCGGGGCGGCGGGCGACACTGGGGCGACCAGTGCAGCCGACGGACAAGCGAAAACAAACAAAACAATCAAAACCAAGGAATGGGGCCAGCCGAGGGGCCGAGCGACCAGCGTCGCCCAGGGAAGTGACAACCAAACCCTAGAAGTAGATTAGGTTTGCGCCCGCCCCCAAAAAAAACAAAAAATATAGATTCTTGAAATAGGAAGGCGCTTAAAGTAGATTGGGATCTGGGAATCCAAAAATACCTACTTTCAACGACCGGTGGGTAGTCCCCCTGCTCGGGCGAGTCGCGGGGCGGCGCCCGCCAGATTGAAAATCAACGGGGCGGCGCCAGTGATTAGCGCCGACGCTCGGCCGCCAACGAGGGGCAACTGGGGGGGTGCTTGCAGGCAAGGGCGAGCCAGGGGGCCCCTCTTTCAGTCGAACCGATGCGGGCCTGCGGGCAAGGCGGGTTGGACGAAAGTAGGGCGCAGCAGAGTGGGGGTTTGCCACGCAGCTCACGTCGCCGATTTTCCAAGCACCCCCTGGCGCCGAAAGCGCCATGCGTCGAGGACTGGCCCGTCGGCGGGGCGACCGAAACCAGCGGCGGGGCGACAGAAACCAGCTTTGCGCAGCAGGCTTTGCAACCCCCCCTATCCTTCCCCAGCCTTTCGTCCGACCCGAGCAAGGCGGGTAGTCCTCCTCCCCCCCTTTCGCTGGCGTCGCCGCCGTCCCCCGCCCTGCCCTCCTCCTCCTCCTCCTCCTCCTCCTCCTCCTCCACCTCCACCTCCACCTCCTCAACATCCTCCTGCTTCTGCTCCTGCTCCTCCCTCTCCTCCTCTTCCTCGTCCTCCTCCTTCTCCTCCTTCTCCCCCCTCCCCCTCCTCTCTCCTCCTTCCCCCTGGCGCCCCGCGGGGTCTATTCATCAGCCCCGGGGGGGGCGCATTTTGCTAGTCACAAGCTGGCATTCAGTTATTGCAAATGTTTCAAACGAATGCGCGCGGCGCTAAGGCGAGAACCACATGTTGAAAACAAGCAGTCCTCAATCCGTGAAGCGATTCGAACTTTTGAGCAATAATGTGCGCGGCAATAAGGCGATAGCAATATTTTGAAAATCACTCGCTCTCCATCTCTGAGACAGCTGTTAAGTTTAAGCATGAGGTCATAAGCGGTGAGGAAGTCTCAAGCGAAACGCCCGGCCCGCCCTTTCGACCGGCCTCGGGGGTCCGACAGGGACGAGTGATCGATTAGGAAAAGGAAGGAGGAAGAGGAGGAGGAGGAGGAGAAGGATAAAGTGAACGAGAAACTGAAAGAGAAGGAGGCGGAGGATGAAAAGGGGGAGAATGAGGAGAAGGAGGAGGAGGAGGAGGAGGAGGAGAAAGAGAACGAGAAAGAGAAACAGAAGGAGGCGGAGGAGAAAAAGGAGGAGAAGGAGGAGGAGGAGAACAAGAGAACGAGAAAGAGAAAGAGAAGGAGGCGGAGGACAAAAAGGAGGAGAAGGAGTCGGAGTAGGAGGAGGAGGAGGAAAAGGAGGACGAGGAGTGCCAGGAGGAGCGGGAACGGGAGGCCCGCCCGACGGACGCCTCTGCGCCGGGAGCTGGCTCGTGCACCCCGCCCTGCGCCTGCCTTGGGGGGGCACTCTCGCGAGAACCACCAGCCTGACCGTCCCCGAACTCCTCGTCCTCCTCCTCCTCCTCATGTTCCTCCTCCTCCTCGTCCTTTTCCTCCTCCTCCTCCTATTCCTCCTTCTCCTCCTCCTCGTCCTCCTGCTCTTTCTCTTTCTCTTTCTCTCCTCCTCGTCCTTCCTCCTCCTCGTCCTCCTCCTCCTCCTCGTCCTTCCTCCTCCTCCTCCCCCCTCCTATTCCTCCCCTCCTCGTCCTCCTGTTTCTTTCTCTTTCTCTTTCTTTTCTCCTCCTCCTCGTCCTCCCCTCCTCGTCCTCCTCCTCCTCCTCCTCCTCCTCCTCCCTCCCCCTCCATCCTCAGGGAAACATGCAATGAAAGAAACATAATAACTCGGAGGTCCGCGCTGATTCCTCGGATCGGCGCTGAGGCCCCTTGGCGGCGCCCCTGGCGCTTTCTGCGCGCCAAGGACAGGTGTTCAACGCCGATCCGAGAATCCCAACGGACCTCCGAGATTTGATTTTTATGTCATTATGCCCCTTTCTGCAGCTTCGCGACTCCTTCTGTACGCCAACGCACCCCCCCCACTGTTCAGCAGGCGCAGCGGTACGATGACGAAGGTCACTGCGCCCCCTCCTCCTTTTTCCTCCCTACCTTGCCATCTGGTTGTGCACATCACCCCTGCTTCGGCTTCAGCTGCGGGTAGGCGCACTTGCGAAGCGCCCTCGGGCTATCCCCGACATCGTCCTCCTTCTCTTGGCGGCGCGCAGAGGGGGAAGGCTTAGAAGGAGGCTGCCTCTTAGAAGGCGCGGGCATTGTCTGTGGGTGGGAGCCAGCGCCTTCTAAGAAGCCTTCCCCCCTCCCCCTACCCCCCATCTGCGCGCCGCCCATTCCTTGGGCGTCGCTTGATGGGGGGCGATAGCTGGGGGGGAGGGAGGTGCACTTCTCGGGCCCGGAAGGCCCTCTTTTTGGACACTGGAGGGCCCCTTCGGGAGCCCTCAAGGGCTCCTTCTCTGCAGCCCTCTCGATCCCCCCCCCCATGTAACGCCCCCCGTTACGCGACGCGACGCGACGCGACGCGGCTGCCCGGGCGGGAAGGCAGAAGGGGGCCAGCCCTCCCGGAAGGCGGCGGGGCTGGAAGCCCTCCAGCCTTCTGATGGAGGCCGGCCGCCGTTGCCTTCCCCCGTGGGCGAGCCGCAAACCCGCCTCCTCCGCAGGGAAGGTGGGGACGTCGGGGAAGAGATCCCCAGGAGGAGGAAGAGTCTCTGAAGGGGCCCAGGGGCACCATACAAATAGATAGACACAATTCCCCGGATCCCCCATATGTCGCAGTACTCTCTTGATGTTCGTCTTCCCCTCCACTTCTATGTGTTTTCATATATGTTTCTGGGGATCGACGGTTAATAGCGTCTGTGTGTTTATTCCTCTCCTGAGTCTCTTCTCCTGGACCTGGGAAAGGTCCGAGGAGGAGGAGGAGGAGCTTCCTTTTCGGGGGAAGGAAGAGGACCCTCCTCCTTCCCCAGAGAAGGAGCTCAGCAACACATTCGCATCAGCCTTCGCAAGTCCGCCTGCGCTTCCTGCGCCTCCCCTGGCGCGCTCCGCGCGCTGGGCAGGGGGCGGAAGCGTAGATCCGAGAAGCCCGCGCGAAGCGAGAACTTTCTTACGCCGCAGCACGGCAGAGGCGATCCGCACGTGCGCTCGAGTTGTGGGGGCGCGCGCCTAATACATTGCCTGGCTGTTAGGCGGAGCGACAAACATGTATATTTCCGATGTCTTATACTTCGACCATCACCATTCCCTATTCGCATACACTCCACACTCTGCCATCAAGAAAGGCCGAACGCTCCCGAATCCCGCACTTCCGTCCTGCGCATCGAAGAACAATGCGAAGTCCAGGTTCTTCCCCTTCCATAATTGGCGCTTTACCGTCGACGTTGCAAGATGCATGGCAGGAGCGGGATGGGTCCCTCATCGCGTGGAAAGAGCGAGGTGCTGGTCTCGCCCCAGAGCGTCCACTTTGGCTGAACATGGGGCCAGCGATTGGCATGCTGCCCTCGCCTGGAATCCAATGTTGTCCCTCAAGGTTGCGTTCCCGCTTGTGCGCGGCGCATGTGTTCCTTCGCCAGGTCGTCGGAAGCGGGGCCGCGCGCGCGAGCGCCTTCCGCTCGAGAAGTGGACGCTCGCACCTTGCAGAAATTCCTGTTGTGGTGGCACTCATTCGCATGTTACTGGAGTGAGGGAGGGGATGGCTCGGCACGCTGACAGCTGCTAACTCGTTCAGGCTGGCTGCCTTGACGCCGTACTGCAAATGACCTCTGTCCATGCATCTCCTCCTCGTCCTCCCTCCCACGTCCCCCTCCCGTCCCTCTCTCACTTCTCTCGGAAGCTGCTGGGGGTCTGCGCTGGAGAAGCGCAGACGACGGCAAATCCGCCCAACATCTATCCCTGGACCCCTCCCGGGGTGGACGAAACTGACAAGTTGTTCGAGCCGAGTCCGCAGTAGCGACGAAGGGGCCCCTTTCTCCCCCATATCTGCTGACCGAAACACATGCTGAACCACCTCAACACCCCAGCCTGCTCCAACCGTCCTCCCACCCCTCCGGAACCGCCCCCTCGCTCCCACACCTTCGCTTCTTCCGCTATGCCGGTTGTCCCCCCACTCCTCCTCCTCCCCCTGCTCTCCACCTTTGCCGCTTCGCCACCTCGTCCTCCTGCTCCTCCTGCTCCTCATCCCCCTGCTTAACCGCCTCTGCACTCCTCCTCCTCCTCCTCCTCCTCCTCCTCCTCCTCGTCCTGCCCCCTCACTCCTCCTCATTGTCCTCTTAGTGGTCCTCCTCGTCCTCATCCAGCTCCTCCTCCGCCTCTGCTCCCCTCCTTGCCCCTCCTTTCCTTCCTCGGGCTTCTCCTGCCCATCCACCTTGTCCAGCTCCTCATGCCCATCCTCCTCCTCGCCGCCTCCTTTTCTCCTTTACAATTTCCTCCGCCTGCCGATGCCCTATCGTGTCTCCTCCTCGTTGTTTATGTTTCTGCTCCTGCTGATGATGCCCCCACTCCCATTCTCCCCCTCCTGCTCATCATCCCCCCCTTCTCTCCTTCATTCCTCTTCCACTGCTCTCCCCATCACCCTCCTCTCACCCCTCTTTGTCCTTCTGTCCCCATCTTCCGCCCTCCTCCTGTGTCATGCTCATATGCTCCTCCTGTTCTTCCTGCTCCGCCCCCCTTCACCCACGTGCCTCTCCAGGTCCAAGGGATGTGGGGGGGGGTGCAGGGGGATGGATTCAGGAAACCAAGAGGTATCGATACCGCTGCTCCCCGCACCTCTCCTTGGGTGCATTCTGACAAGCATTTCAAGGGGAATCCAGCGGTGGCGACGAGGGCCTCCCAGGAGGCCCCCAAAAAGGTTGACGAAGAAAAGAGTAGATTACGAGTACCTATGCTTCTAGGTCACACACGGCAAGTTCGTGTCGTGCCGGCTTCGGCATTGGTCTCTGACACTGCGAGGATCGTTCAACCTGGATCGATCCGCCGTCTCCGAAACATCCTTCAACATCGACCGATTCTTGGTCGCCGGCGGCGCTCAACGTTGAACGCCCGCAGCGGGGTCGCCGCCGGTCGACACGACGCGAACCTACCGTAACTTCTCGCCCCGCGCCCCGCGGTGCGCGACGTCTCCGCGCCCTCGCCCTCGAAGACCCTGGCCCTCGCCGTCTTCTCTCCGCGCCCTCGCCATCCTCTCTCCGCACCCTCGAGGACCCTCGCCCTCGCCCTCGTGCCCTCGAAGGCCGTCCTCTCTCCGCGCCCTCCTCGAGGAACTCCGCGCCACCCTCGCGCCCTCGAGAGGCACCGGCGCCGTCCTATAGACCGCGCGGCCGCGTGAGGCGCCATGCGGCCTTCGCGCCTGCGGGTGGCCTGGGATCCGTGGGCGCAGCTCAGAGCATCGGGCGGGTGGTCATGGCGGGGTGGCCCAAGTTGAAGGCTCCCAGGGACACACACACACACACAAACACAAACGAATAGACAAATATCCCAGGATTCCCAATGAGTCTTCCTTGTGCTCTGGATGCCCGTCTTCCCCTTTTTTCCATCTTTCACAATAACTTCTTGGGGATCGACGACTGTTTGTGCCTGTGTGCTTTTTTCCCTCCTGATAAATGGGGGTGTGGAAAAACATAAAAAGGACCCTCCTCTTCACCCCCTATTGTGGTCACCCCCCGTTACCACCCGCCTGAGAGGAGGAACAGGTTCCGATACCGTTACCCCTTCCTCGTTTTCATTTTCTGGGGCCTCCTGGGACAAGCGCCCTCCACTACTGGAAGAGTAGTTGCTCGCAAATTGCCCAGTTCTGCCGAAAGGGGATTTGAGACCCGTTACATCGAGGCACACACGTGTTTTTGCTTCGGACTTTGCGAGTAGGCACTGTGCGAGTAGTGGAACGTGCTCGGTGAATTCGTGCGCCAGGTGGCGCATTGGCCACTCATGGTATGGTCCTTGGGCGTGCCCTGAACGTGTCAGTGAAACCGCAAAATTACGCATGGCAAAGGCAGTCCTGGCTTTATTGACAAACAGAAGGTAGGATAAGGACCAGAAGAAGGAGGAGGAGGAGGAGGAAGAAGCGGCCCGATGCCGAAAGCCTGAGCTGCCGCTTCTTCTCTTCGATCTCCCTGAGAAACCGCAGCTGCGGCGCCTTCCCGCTCTTCCCGCTGAGCTGCCTCCAGGGACGACGGAACGGCCACATCTTCTTGGGGCATTGCTGGCATCATCACTAAGGCGAAGCCAAGACAGGGACAACATCCGACAGAGATAGATCGGGTATCGTTGAGAACCTGCAGTTTGGGTGGATGCATCGTGCGCCGTGGCCTTCTCAGAGCGTCCTGGCACGCTCTGAGAGCGCTCCATTCCGCTCTGGAACGCGTTGTCCCTGTCCTGGCCCCGCCTGGGCCATACAGCTGAGGGGGGGAAGGCTGGGGGGGGGGGGACCGGCTCGGGGGGGGGAAACATCGCCCCGGAAACGCCGATGGATCGGCGACGGGCCCCCGACGGCGAAGCCGCACGTTCCTCGGCGGGGCGGGCTCTCACCGGCGATCAGTGCGCGTGTTGGGGTCGATGCAAACTCTCCAGAGCCTATCCCCCCCACGCGTACCCCCTGGGGCATGTCAGAGGGGGCAGGTCTTCTCAAAGGCAGCGCAGCTTCTGAGAAGCCCGCCGCGGCCCCAGAGACGGCTTGGCGAGCTCCTCAGAGGCCGGAGGCACGCGGGCCTCGGAGGTCTCCGGGCAGGCCCGCCCCCTCTGCCATGCCCCGCCTGGGCGCGCCGCGGAGTGACCAGCGTCGTCGTGCTGCCCCGTCGTTGCATGGCTGGCGTCGTCACGCTGCCCCGCCCTCCTGCCTCACTGCCCATCCCGCCTCTGGCCATCGCTCGGACGTCCATTCCCTGTGTTGTTTTCGGTTTCGTCGATGCTCCTCGATGGTCCTCGATGGTCCTCGCCGATGGAAAAATGCACACGTCCGAGCGATGCCAAGGCCTGGGTGCCTCCAGAAAGCAGCCGAGGGGGGCGCGACAGGTGGCGCAGGCCGAATTGCTTCTGGCTCGCGGTGGGCACTGCCCCGCTCTCCCCCGCCCCCCTCTTCCTCGCCGTGCCTGTCCTCCACCTTCTCTCAGTCAACCAAACCTGCAGGGTGGGCCCTCTCCATCTTCCTGTGCGCTTCAGCTTCAGAGCAGATCTGCAGCACCGCTCCACGGTGTGCTGTCAACGAATCCTGCAGGGAAGGCCCTCTCCCCATTGTTCCGTGCACTTCAGCCGTGGCCTACTCCTCCCCCTCGTCTCCGTCCTGAAACTCCTCGTCCTCCTTCTCCTCCGTCATCTCCTTCTCCTCCGTTCTCTCATTCTTGTCCTCCCGTCCATCATGGTCCTCGTCCTCCTCCCCCTCCCTCCTTCGTCGTACGGCCTCGTCCTCCTCCCCCTCCTCCTTCTTCCCCCTTCCTCGATGTCCCTCCCCTCCTCCCCACGCTCCTCCTCCTCTCACTCTCGTCGTCCTCCTCATCTCGTACCTGTCGGCCCCGCGAAGGGTGCTCCAGAGGCCGCCTGGACGCCCCCGGCGAAAGCTCGGGCCACCGCGGGCAGGTGCCACACCGCGGGCAGGGGCCACCGCTGGCAACACCCGAACACTGGACCCCGGGGGGGCTCTGCGGGCTGTTGTCGACCCAGGGCGCCAGGGCGCCGAACACCGCGCGCGGTGGCAACTCAGAACGGGAGCCGCCCATGCCAGCTTGCCCGCTCTTGCGAATCGACGCTGATCGTCGCTAGTCGACGCTAATCGAGGCTAACTCGACGCTCTCCCATTGACTACCAGACGCTAGCACACGCTAACGCACTCTAGAGACGAGGTTTCGAGAACATACAAGGCCCGCATGATCTGCTACAGAACCAACCCGACACGAGCGCTCGTAAAAACAAGGAAAAGCGGCACCACCGCCGGCGTCGGAGCCAGATGGGGTCTCCAGGGAGAACAATCAACGGCCAACAACACTTTCGGAGGTCCGCGCGGATTTCTTGGATCGGCGCTGGGCCCCCCTCCCTGAGGCGCGGAACGCACCAGGGGCGGCGCCAGAGGCGCCGCCAGGGGAGCCCAGTGCAGATCCAAGAAATCCGCGCGGAGCTCCGAAAAAGTCATGTTCATGCACTTGTTCTTCTCCGTCTCCGGTGTGGTCCCCCTCCTCGCTCGAGACACTCCCCCGCCCCTAGCGCGGGCAGCAAGCATCGTGGACCTCCTCGCTGGCGACGGCACCCCCGCTCGCGGCGCCGTCCCTCTCTCCTCAGAGCTCGTGGATCGGCGCTGCCGCTGCCCATGTGGCGCAACTGCCAGAAGCACGAGCACGCCCCTCGGGGCTCCGCCGCCGGCCCTCCCCTCGCTGCGCCGCTGGCTCCTCCTCACCGCCGCCGCGCCACTGCCGGTGCTGTGGTTTTCTCCCGCCGGGGCCTCTGCGGACTGTCGTCGACGCTCAGGGCGCCGAACAGGGCGCGCTCGCGGCGGCGCGCCTGAGCGACGGGCCCGCCCCCGGCGCTCCAGCATGGAAGCCTGCTTACCGCACTCGCTGCAAGCCAGCGGCCCCCACTTGGCGGCGCGCCAGAGGTGGGCCGGGGGAGGGGGGAAGGCTCCTTAGAGGAAGGCTGCTCCTTAGAAGGCGCGGGCCTTACCCATGACTGACGGCCCGGCGCCTTCCAAGAAGCAGCCTCCGTCTAAGAAGCCTTCCCCCCTCCCCCGGCCCCCTCTCTGCGCGCCGCCAACCCACGGAAAGAGGCTGGGAGGGCCGGGTGGGGGGAGAACGGGGGCGGATCCGCTGGATTCCGCCAGGCTCGTGCGGAGTTGCATGCCACATGGAAGCTGGAGCGCTCTTCAGGCGCCGCCTGCAGGCGGACGTGTTCCCGCAGGGACAGCGACCTCATACGCTGGGCCGGTAGTGGAAGATCCCAGGAACAGGGTGGCAGCGGATGGGAAGGACAAGGAGGAATTTAAACGAGGAGAGGAGAGGAGGGTACGGGCGATCGGTCAAAGAGAACCACGGGAGGCGGGAAAAGACAAACACCGCACATATCGCGAGAGAGAAAAGGGGACACAACTTGTCCGCGATAGTCCTCGCTTGAATTTGCATCACCAAAACAAGCGTCGCTTCGCACTTCGCACTCAACGGCCACAACCGTCAACGGGCGAAACGCGTCATCTTTGAACAAGCCCCGAAGCCTGAAGCGCAGGGATCCTCATTCAAATTAAGATAGGAGCGTTCTAACGAGCGCTCTGTGATCCATCGGCTCAGTAGCGGAGGACCTGAAAAGAATGCGAGCAAGTGGATGTACGCGGAAAACGTCGAATGTTCTCACCCTGGTTGCGTCCAAGTCCGATACTGCCCGCGGCGGCTCGCGAACAACCGTGATTTCTACACACCCTTCCTTGAACGAGGAAGGGTGCGCGCCGAGGTCAGATGACTCGACGCCGAGGTCAGATGACTCGGGCCAACTGCGGCTGGACTACCACAAGCGGTACAATGACCAAACTGCGACGAGCCAAATAATGCAGCACACGCGTCGAATGCAGCTCCTTCCCATCCGCCCTCGCACGGCCCACCACCAACTCCTTACTATCGAGCCTGCATGAGCCGTCACAGCGGGCGGACACGCCTGCAAAACAATGGGGGGGCAGAGAGCGCAACTCTATGTGCCATAAGCACTGGCAAACAAATGTTCGCAAGAGGCGACGGCATGATCCAGAGCCGAACGCTGGTCTCTGCCAGTTTGGGGCCTCCCAGCGGCCCACGAAACGACAACACTGACGTCACTGACGTCGACCATCGACTGGTAGGCCTCTTGCGCAATAGCTGAGCCACACACAATCCCATTGGTCTGTGTGAATCCTGGCACCTCCGAACCCTAAACTCAAAGACCGACGAGCCGCGTCACCCGCAGAAAGGCCCGCCTGCTCGTTTCAAGTCCCGAAGAAACGTTGCTGGTGGGAGAGACTGGAGCCCGACGGGTCCACGTGAGAAGGGGTCCAGACCGCAAAAGACCCCTCATAGGCCCCGTTCCCGGCGGGGCGAGCTTGAAACCGCAAATCCGAATTCTTGTCACCGCAGTGGGTACGCCTCTTTACATACCAGCCCTGGCTCAACGATTCATGGCCGGTGGGAAGCATACCATCAAGAAAATGCTAGAGAACAATCTCAACAACGCATCTGGAGCGGGCGGCTTGCGGGCCATCGCTCGGGCTTCCGACTCCCCATTCGGGACCAGTCTGGCACCCGCGGAACGCCCTCAACAAGGCGCAGCTGATGGAAACCATACCAGGCTTTGGACACTTCCGAAAACTACTACGAAACTCGCCCCCCCTGAGCCTTGAGCGAGGCTCTTGGCATAATTTGCGCGACAGAATAGCATCAACGCGCATGCAGATGCTGCGCGAGATTGTCGGTTTCAACAAACTTCTAGCAGAGTCATGGGAGGACGCTGGCTGACGGTGCAGGGAATAAGTAAGGAATGCATTATCAATTGTGGATGTTCCAGATTGGGTTGCGTGCGTCGACCGTGCAAGTTGGCGATTGCTGACCAGAATCGCGGCGCATCCTTGCAACTGGCCGCACAAAAAAATTTGCGTGGACCTCACAAAACGCTGTTCGACGACGCGGTCGTCCGACAACCCGGTGGACCGACAGCGTTTCTACCTTCCGTCGCCGCAGCGAAGGGCGGACTTTGATACAAGCATTCCGAGAGTTTTCACGACTGAAGTTGTCTATGTTAAAAAGCAAGCATGTCGGGTACATGACCAAATGATTTCCGTCGCCCTCCCCCTCACCTCCCCCCCTCCTTCCCTCCGTCCGTCTCCTCCCCTCTCCTCAAGCACGCCTGTTGATACTGCGTCCAACGTTTCACCTTGGCCGCCAGCGTTGCCCGTCATGGCAAGCCTGTCTTATAATTTCGCCGTCTCCACTTGTGGGGCGTGACGCTTTCGGGCGTCCGATCGGACCTCTGCCTCGCCTGCCAAGGGTGGCCTTTCTCGGACTTCTGCGAGATGTCCCGCACGTGCCAGCAAAACTGAAACCAACGGAATGGAGCCCCCAGCCGCCCCTCCCCCTTGCCGTCGCTCGGACGTCCATTTCCCGTGCAATGTTCGGTTTCGTGCGTGTTTTTTCGTTTTTGCTCGATGGTCCAGGAGGGTCCTCGATGGTCCTCGCCGAGACAAAATGCACACGTCCGAGCGATGCCCAGGCCCCCTCGATCCTCCATCCTCGGTCCTCGAGCCGCGACGGCAGCCCGTCGCAGCTCCGACCTGGCGGCGGCGGCGGCCACGGCCGAGGGGGCCGCCCACGGCCTCGGGGACCGCCCCCTGAGGACAGCCCGACGGTCCTCGAGGGCCCTGGCAGGAGCAAGATGCGACAGCTCGGCAAGTTGCACGGCGGAGGAGGAATGGAGGAGGACGAGAAGGAAGAATCGGGAGAGGAGGAGGAGGACGGGGAAGTCGGCCTTGATTGGGCAGGACACGCGAGAGGACACAAGACCCTTCCGAGGGCCACACCGCCATAGGAGTGTAAGAAGGCACGTGTGGCGAGGCACAGGACACAAGGGTATCCTTGAGCTGGCAGGGTCGACCTACTAATCTGGGCCGACTGTAGCTTGACAGGTTGCACGGCGCTTGAGGAATGAGGAGGACGAGAAGGAAGAATAGGAAGAGGAGGAGGAGAACGGGGAGGTCGGTCGGAAGCGGGTACAGGCGCCAGGCCGTGCTCATTTTGCTTGACATGGAGCTCACATGAGAGCTCGTAACCAAAACAGGCAATCAGGGAAGGTGCACCAGAGAAGTGGAACGGGGAAGGACGGGGAGAAGGAAGGACGCGGAGAAGGCAAGAGGAGGAAGCCAAGGATCAGGTGACCTCGGCATCGCAAGGCTCGACAAAGAACCGCGGGTTCGTCTGCGACCATCAGCCGGACTTGCAACAGAAGCAGAACGAGTCCTTGACTCAGCAACCAGATTGATAGCACGCGCCTGCCTCCCCGCTAGAAGAGCAGGCGTTTTGCTGGGGCAAGAAATTCGGTCACTCCTAGGGCGTTTCCAGAGGCCGGGGGACGCTTGCCGTGAGCCTTGCGCCCCGGCCAGAGAAAACCCTTGACCCTCCTCAACCACAACCACATCAGTCCCAGCGGCAGTGCAGGGCGGATTGACACATTGGAGTTCCGAGCGACACATGCACCTCCAGTCAAAACTGGTGGTCCCATGTTCTTTTTTCTTTCTTCACGAAGCGCAACTCCAGAGACACCTCTCACGCATCAACCCGCACTGTGAACAAATCGCGCTGCAACAGCCTGGTCGACTCAAACGTAGGACCCGTGGTGGCCCATCCGGAAGGAACGAACTTCTGGGGCGCGCCGAAGACACCAGGGGGTCAGGTTTCTACGGGAACAGAATCCCTGGCGAAGGGTTCGTGCACGGGGGTACCCCCGTCTGAAATCTCGGAAGACAACTGAACTCTCAGCCGCGGGGATGCTCGCACGCGAGGTTCCATCCCCCTCGGCGCAATCAGAGGAGGAAAAGCACGAGAGCCCAGATTGCAAATGTTACGCAGCAGCACTCTAGAAGTAGTGAACTCAAGTTGTGCTAGCACTTGCACTATCTATTGTGGTACAAATGGGCCCACGTACATTATCACGATGCAACCAGCACACATACACCAAATGCAAATTCGAAAAGGTCTCATAGTCCAACGGCGACACCAATCGACCTGGAGTTGAGTTCAACTAGTACACATTGCACTCAAGCGCTATATGTATTATATTCGGAGAGGCTCAGGGGTTCCATTGGCAACGCGCGCGCAGAAGAAAGACGACCACGCGTCAAAGTTTAACAAGTCGCCGCGAAGAAGGACCCTTCTCGGAAGGAAGAAACGAAATCCGGCAAAGGGGTGGGGGGAGGGCCAGGCATGAGCCTGGGACGTGTTACGTTAAACACAACCCCAAGGTGAAGAAAGGAGGAGGAGGATGCGGAGGAAAATCAAGGACAACGGAGAAAGAAAACGAGAACTGGTGGACACGAATGCGTGGGCGACTTCGATGACAGCCCGGGTTACCCCCCTGCGCCGTGTGGCCTGCGTTAAAGCGAGTTCGCGCGAGCTTCCTAGCAGACTTTCGGGGCAAAGCGCACTCTTCCACACAAATGGTGGCACTGCACTTCAGAATGATCACCGCCTGGTCAATCAATTCGGTTGTATCCTGGACCGCTTGCGGTGGATTGGCATCGCTTTGCTTTGAGACGTAGGGGCGTCGGCGACGCAACTGATATCAACACACGCAGATTAGGAAGAGAGAGGTGCTTGATCATGGCCTCGCCTTCCGCCAGATGACTTGACATGTATTCCAAAGTCAACGAGCCACTCCTCCAACGAAGAACGAAGGAACTGCCACAACTCGAGCCAACGGTCGGCACCTTGGAGGCTCAAGGTGCGGTGGTAACCTTCACGGAACGCCTGCATATAGTTCTCGTTTCCTTTCCCGTGACAGCTGCACCGAATTCCGCTCGTGGCTGCCCTCCTCAATATAATACAAGGAATACACGACGCTGCGCGCAGAACCTTAGGACGGTTCGCGCGGATGTCTTGGACCTGTGCTGAACCCCCCTCCGTGGCGAGCTGAGCGGCACCTGAGGCGCCGCCAGGGGGGCCCAGCGCAGATCCAAGAAATCCGCGCGGAGCCCAGCCACGTTTATGTTTATGTCGTTTCTCCTTCTTCGAGACATTGCCCTCCTCCGTCCCAATCGGGCTTGGGGCAGGGACGACAAAGTCGGACTGCGCAGCGGGTTGGCCACCAACGAGCTGCCTGAGCAATCGCCCTGGCAGGTAACGGCCATCGGCGGCCCCACCAGCGAGACCTTCAGGCCAGCCTGGAGTCCGCCAAGAAAAGGGCTCACTACCAGCCTGGCGCCCGCCAGATGCTCCTCAGGCCAGGACGGCCCACGTGCTGCCGCAGGGAGCGCTGACCACGGAACGAGGAGGCTTTCCTGGCCACGGCGAGCCTCGGCCACGAATGGGTTCCCCGATCCGTCGGGGAAGGAGGAGGACCCAGGAGGACGAGGAGACCCGAGGCAGGGAAGGAAAGGGGGGCGCGCGTGGCCCGGAGCAGGGCGAATCGAACCCCGAAGCGGCGAGCGAAATACGAAGTGAATTTCACGTGGATTGTGTGTAGTCTTAATTCCTGGCCGAAAGCAAATCCGCACGAAATTCACTTCGAAATCCGACCCCTCCTGGCGTCCAAACGCACAAGTTTTCCGCGCCGCGCCCAGTCGTGGCGGCGAGGGCTCCCCCTCGAAGGCCAACGAATGCTGTCCCAGCTCGCCCTCTCCTGCAGGGCGGGCGCCGAGGGCCCGCGGCGCCTGCATGATCTGCATCCGCTTGGCCAGCAGCACCGCCGCCGACGTGCCCGCCTCGAGGAGCACGTCAAACGACGTCAGCACTGCGAGGCGGGGACTTCTCCACATCCACCGCCTGGGAACCGACGTCCTGGTGCCCCAGCGGGCGGTGGGTATGGATATATAGTTCGGCCCCCGGGGGCCCGAATATGTCCATATCCACCGCCTGCCGAGGCTCCGAAAACTGACTCTCCAGGCGGTGGTCATGTATACATTGCCGCCTCGGAAGCACAGACGTCCGACGCTCCGCGCGGAGTTGTCGGATCTGGACAGGACCCCTGGGCGGCGCCAGAAGCGTCGCCGGGGAGGCCCAGCTCCGATCCAAACCGTCCGCGCGGATCTCCAACGAAAATTAGACTATGAAATTGTTGGATTCCCTCTTCGCTGCAATGTCCTCACGTGCACTAATCATTAATCGGAGAAGTTCCTGTTCGATACATCTCTCCGATGCAATGCCCTCCCCTTCTTCGACGCACCGAACATCTCTTCAATACAGTTCCCTCCCCTTCTTCGATACAACTCTCCCATGCAAGCCCCGCCCCTTCAGCGATACAACTCTCTGGTGTCATCCCCTCCCCTTCATCTATACAACTCTCTGGAGCAATCGCATCCCCTTTCCCCGATACAACTCTCCGGTGCAATTCCCTCCCCTTCCTCGATTCAACTCTTCGACGCAATGCTCTTGCTCATGCAAAATGGCTCGCCCCTCGGCCACCGAGGCGCCAGCCGCGCCGCCCGCGGGCGCACTCCTCTGCCGCACCGTGCGCTCGGCGTCGGAGCTCGTGGGCGAGAGCTCGGCCGCGGGCTCCGGCGCCGGCTCCGCCACGGCGGGGCCCTGCGCCGGGAGCCACGCGGCAGCCTGGGCTCGGGTCGACGTTCTCAGGGCGTGCGGGCTGCCACTTCTTGACCGTGGGCGTACTCCCCCCAAGAAAACCGTCGACCCGAGCCCAGGTTTCGGGGGACAGGCCATGGAATAACATAAACTGTCGGAGGTCCGCGCAGATTCCTCGGAACGGCTCTGGGGCCCCTGGCGGCGCCTCCGGCGCCGCCTCTGGCGCGCTACGCGCGCCATGGAGGGGAGTCCAGCGCATATCCAAGAAATCCGCGCGGACCTCAAAACTTTCATGTTCATGCAGTGGACTATCACCCGAAGCCGGGGCTCGGGTCGACGATTTTCTCTGGGGGAGTACGCCGGCGGTCATTAAGTAGCAGCCCACAGACGCAAATGAGAGTGAGGGGGCGGGGGCGGGGTGGGTCGCGGGGTGGGTCGCGGGCGGGTCGTGGGGGGGTGGACGATGACGACAGCAGAATTTGCGCCACTTCCCAAGTCAGCCACTTCAGCCGATGACTCTGAAAAAGAAGACCATGGCATAAGACATGATACAGCTGAATTGGGGCAAACAAAGAAAAACATAGCCGCTGAATTCGTCGCAGGTCCCTTACGATGGCCCGGTCTCTCCAGGGCCCAAGCTGCAGGACAAATGTCAGCCCCTGACATGTCATGACCAGGCGGCGCCACCAGAAAATGGCAGCGGCCAGAAAGAACAGGCACCTTTCTTATTGACCACCATGGGTGTAAAGGAAAGGTAAACAGACACCGACATCGACGTTCGGAAGTCCGCGTGGACCTCCACTAAAGGAACAACACATTGCATAAACAGAAACTTTTGGAGCTCCGCGCGGATTTCTTGGACCTGCGCTGGGCACCCCTCCCTGGCGCGCGGAGCGCGCCACAGGCGGCGCTGGAGACGCTGCCAAGGAGGTCCAGCGCAGATCCAAGAGATCCGCGCGGAGCTCCAAAAGTTGATGTTTTCGCCGTGATCTTCGAGAAGAGGGGAAACTGGCTCAGGCAGGGACGCCTAACCTGGCATCGGCGACACATAATCGAAAGTAAGCTCGTGATAGGGTCGACGTTTTCTTGAGGGGAGCCTGGCTTAGGGGTGGAAGCACGACCTGAAATCGGCGATACATCGCCGATAGATCGGCGGTAGGCTCGTGGTAGGGTCGACGTGTTCTTGAGGGGGAGGGCCTGGCTTTGGGCGACGCTGCCCAGTTCCTCCCGCACGAGGGGGAAGACAAGGGAGCCTGGCTCAGGGGGTGGAAGCATCGACCTGGCTGGCATCGGGGGCATCGTCATGAGCCCTGGGTGAATCGAATCGGAGGCATCGACATTCGGACCGGGCGAAAGGGGGGGATAACAAAAGGGGGGTTTGAGAATAACCTCACGTAGCTGATTTTCCCGGCGCCTCCCAGCTCCAGAGGCGGCTACGTATCGAGGGAGGAATGGGCCCGGCGGCGGGTCCGAAACCAGCTGCATGCAGCAGATGTCGCAATCCCCCCTTTCCCTGTCCCCCCCTTCGTTCGGCCCGAGACGTGAGCCCTGGGGGCCTGGTGCTCCGCCTTCGCCTCGGCGCCAGCCTTGGCACCGGCGACCTGCGCCTCCAGCGGGAACCACGCCTTCGGCACCGCGGGGGCCTCTCGGCCGGGATGCGCCCGAAGACTCCGCCGCCTCCTCCTCTTCTACAGCCGCCTACTCGTACTCCGCCGCCTCCGCCTCTTCTACAGCCATCGCTCGAGTAGGAGATCGCCTACATAATCTATGTCCGTACCCCAGAACTGCTTGTTCGTCGAACCTGCGGAAAAATGCTCCGTATGTCTACGGAGCCTTCTACGAATGTGTGTCGCATATCCGGCGAACACGAAATTGTGGAGTAAGTCAATGTTGTAGTCGATCTCCTACCCGACTGCTACAGTGTGAAGGATCGTTACGTCAGGAACGAAGTGGCTTTTCCTGGCCACGGCGGGCCTTGGACACGAACAGGTTCCCCGACTCAGGTCGAAGGAACGGCCAAAGCCCCCCGAGCCCGAAATGGTCCTCACTTCAGCGCAGTTGCTATATCCTCTCCGCCAGCTCCTCTTCATGCCCCATCCTCCGCCTCCCGATTCTCCTCCTCCCCCTCCTCCTCCTCCTCCTCCTCCTCCTCCTCCTCCTCCTCCTCTGTTCACTCAAGCTCCTAACACCCTCGAACATGGAACCTCGAAAACGCCCTCCTCCTCCTCCTCCTCCTCCTCCTCCTCCTCCTCCTCCTCCTCTGCCGGCTCTCCCCCGTCCCCTCCAGTTCCTTTCCGCACTCTCCTCCTCTCTTGCTCATCCCCCCCCTCCTCCAGCTGTGGCGCCTGGGCGCAGTCGGTCCCGTTGCCGCACTGGGTTGCCATCCCGCACATCTCGGCCAGATGCTGGCGGAGGAGGAAGAGGGGATGAGGAGAAGGACAAGGACGAGAAGGGGGAGGGGGAGAAAGAGGAGAGGAGGAGGAAGAGGAGGAGGAGGCGGAGGGGCGGTTGAGGAGAAGGAGGAGGAGAAGGAATGGGAGGAGGAGCAGGAGGAGGAGGAGCAGGAGGAGGAGGAGAGAAGGAGGAGGAGGAGGAGGAGGAGGAGGAGGAGGAGGAGGAGGAGGAGGAGGAGGGGGGGAGGATGATGATGATGATGATGATGATGATGATGATGATGAGGAGGAGGAGGAGGAGGAGGAGGAGGTGGAAAGGGGGAGGAGGAGGAGGAGGAGGAGGAAGAGGAGGAGGAGAAGGATGAGGAGGAGGAGGAGGAGAAGGATAGGAGGAGGAGGAGGAGGAAGAGGAGGAGGAACGGAACGAGAAAGATAAGAACCCCGCTCCCTGGAGGGCCAATTTACCATTTTTGACTCTTGATCACGCACACACCGGGGGCGACCGCCCCTTGAGAAGGGTGGGTGCTAAGGTCGTCATCGGCATCGATGCCAGCAGCGACAGCGACAGCACCTGGGGGAGGTAGAGGGGGAGGAGGAAGAGGAGGAAGAGGAAGAAGAGGAGGAGGAGGTGAGAATTGCTTAAGACGGAAAAGTGGGGTCCCGGATGTTTTTCTCGCTGCGCACGCATTTGGCTCAAGTCGGTTGCGGTCACTCGGGCCCTCTCGAGTCCTGGAGCGGTGGCCAACTCTGGACGGGGGCGGGGACAGGAATCAATCTTACACAGCTCCCTGAAAAAGTCGTTGGCCAGCGCGTCGCAACAGAACAGGGCACGAACAATCACACTCGAAAACACATCATGTACCGTGCCGATGTGACGGAACATCCCACTGACTGTCTGTCCAGCTGGAGTCCAGCTGCACCCGCTTGTGTGGATGTAAAACAAAACCCGTTTGGGCCTGCTCGGCCTCACGCTTCTGAAATTCACCCTGCTCGTTGAAAATCTAGCATCGGCCCGAACGCATCAACTTTGTGAGAACAAGTGCTTCGAGAACGCGCTCAGTCCAGCCGGCACGCATTGGTGTTGAACCCCTATGGCTCCACACCCGATCGCGCGCATAGACTGCCTGCAGACACACAACTCTAAAGCAACACGCCTGTCATTGCCTCCGGTAGTCTCCTTCACCAGGATATCAAACAATGACTTCGCACCGACCAAACTCACAGCACTCGGCTCGATGGAAGTCGAACTGTCACTCTTGAATACTGCAGCCGTGGGGTGCTCTCGCTCTGGCTGTGAAATCCAACGTCGTATCTTCGTGCCGAGATCGCTCCACATGGCTTCTTGCCACAAAGCCCAGATCCACTCTGCCTCGGCGAGGCCGTCGCTGAAACTGAAGCTCCCGGCTGCCATCGTACTGTCCACGACCCGCTTGATCTTATGACGAACCTTGCGGGTGATATTGAATGGCGCACCCTCGTTGTCGTTCAATGCCTTGGTAATGATGCCCACCAGAAAACATCCCATGAGAAGCACCAGCCGCCTTGTCCGCATCAGCTCCCGTCACCCTCGCTAGCGACCCTGGCATCTTCAGGTTCCAATGATACAATGCGCAAGCGGAGGAGTGGATCAGCCTTGAGTCGACGCACCGTTGCACTCGCGTCCGAAAGGTCCTCCACGACTGCTTCGCGAAACGAATTCTGCGGCGATGATGCCGTTGATGCCTCGTCTGATCTTGTCTGCCGTGCAACCCAGCCAACGCCGCCGATCACAACGCACAACTGGCTCTTTTCGCTGTCCGTCGATCCTGCCATGGGGTCGGACAGTCGCCCGCGCTCGAGCTCGATCGGATCCAGCTTCTCGCGAATGTAGCGCCCCGTGCCGATTTGAAAGACGAAATATTTCTCCTGTGTAAATCGACGCCCAGCAAACGAATTAAAGTCAATATTGTTACGGATTGTGCCAATGCCCGAATTTGATCCATGTCCTCAGCTGCTTCATCTGGTTGTAATGCTTCTCAGTGCCTCCAGAAGGCGCGTCGCCAACATCGAGAACTACAACGCCTTGGACAAACGGACCCCCGTTCTCTCTCGCGGCGCGCGTCGATGACGGACAGACAAAACAAGAAATGATCATCGGATCATGCGGTAGTCCAACTTGCTGAGACGGTTGACCATCGTACTCCCCCGCGCTGCCATGCCACTCGCGAGCCCGTAGACCTCGCGGTCGAGCCTGATGAGACTGCCAGGCGGAACACTTGACGCCTCCCGGTAGCCTCCTGCAGGTGGCTCCGCGTAGAGCGGCTCGGTCCGCTTGCAGGGTTCCCCCTGCATCAACGCCGCGGCCGCGTCGCTGGAGTTCGCCTCGAACTCCCGGCTGGCCACGGCCCGCAGCGCGATGTGGATGGCAGCCAGCTGCGGGGTTGGACAACTCCGCTCGATCTCCACGATTTCGGAGTCCTTGGACCCGTGCGCGACCCTCTCGGCCTTCGCCATGCCCGCTGCTCCGTGGGCTTCCAACCAAATAGGATGCGGCTGGCGATGATCCGCTCGCCACTGTCCTTCCGAATGCGCGCAGCATCCTCGGGCATGATGGCCGTCGCCGCGTCGATGCCAAAAGCTGCGCTCCACTCCTTCGCGATCGTGGCGATGAGCTGCGGCCAATCGTCGTCGCTGATGTCGCGGTGCTGGAGCTCTGCCGCTTCGGACTTGGCCTTCGCGATGTCGAAACTACCTCGGTGGCTCAGACAAGCTCGAGTATGCTCGATGCTACAAGCGGTGAGCTCGTCGTCGCCGTCGTCGCTGAAGCTGGGCACTGGCCTCAACGAGCCGCGCTCGTGCTTGCGGCAGTGCCGCGCCCCGTCAATCGCGACGTGGTCGCCGCTCTCCGCCTCGGCGATGGTCGCGAACGTGCTGTCCGTGAAGCTGCAGAGCTCCACGAGGCGGTTCTGGTCGGCTGACTGCTGCCAGCGCGTGCCTGGACCGACGCATCCGCTCAGCGCAGGCCGGGGCGCCCTGGTGCCTGCTGCCGTTCTGCCCGCCAATCGTTGCCGATCCGTCTCCAGGTCGTCGAACCTTGACCGAGATCGGGGAGGCGCCCCAACGCCCCCGCCCACCGGCCTCGCGACCGCGCCACGCCGGGAGCCTGCGCCAGAGGCGGATGCCGAAGACGATGGGGCGAGCGGTTCGCCCTCGGGCCGGGCGCTCGTTCCCCCGGGCAGATCGTCGCCAGCGCCGGCAGGGGTCGCTGGTTCAGCAGCTGGAACTTGCGGAGGTGGCTCGGCACCGACAACATCGCCAAGATCAGGCGGCTCGCCCTCGCCGCTGATGCCTCGAAAGCCTCGCTTTGCACGGGCGGCGTTCAGCTTCTCCCTGAAGTCGAAGAGGAGCTCTTTGACGACTTCTGCGCCCATGCTCCCCTCACTGGTGGCCGATCGCACCTGTGTCCTGGCGCATTCGGAGAAAGCTCCGCGCAGGCCTGCAAAAGCCGTGCATGGCCGTCGCCGGCCCACTCCAGCCAACCTTATAGTCGATGATGCCGTCCCGCTGCCGCACAGAAGCCCCCCTCGATATGAAAACGAGCTCGCCGTCCGTCAACGTCTCCTGGCCCTTCCGCATGATGCTCTTGAGCGCCTCTTGCAGCGTCTGCTGGTCGCTCGCGGTGGCGGCCGCAGTCGCGGCTGCCTGTCGCGTGGCCCGGGCGCGCTGGCACTCGGCAGACAGCGTCGCACTGAGCACCTCTGGGCCGATGATGTCGTCGGCGAGGAGGCAACGCAGCAGTCAGATGCCCTCGCCGAACACCCCCTGGGCAGGGCTATCGCCGCTGCAGTTGGCGAAGCGATTCTTGGCCTGGGTGACGAAGTGACTGAGAGCGCCCACTTCGCCCGTGGAATTGCACGGCTCGACGGGCGCGGCCTCCTGGAAGATGCCCCTCCACCAGCCTCAGCGCCTCTCCGTGTTGCCGCTCCCCCAAGGCGAGCGGATGCTGATGACGTACATGAGCATAGCGCACTCCCGAGCACGGCCCTCGAAACTCCGCCTTGAACTCGGCCCCCTGGCCGACTGCAAGAATCTGCGGTGGTCTGCAGTGCCTCTGCCAAACACGTCGAAACGCATCCCATGTCGCCTGGGCCGCCACGGGCCCGATGATGTGCTCCACGATCTGGTCGCTGATGCTCTGGCAGATGTCGCGCGCGAGCGTGAACTCTAGACCGAGCGCCATATTGACTGTGAACGCGTTGCGCCCGACGGCGTAGGCGAAGCGAAACGATCGCGGCACCGCAGATGGTTGACGTGCACGAGGCCGCTTGCTGGACTCGCACGCTGGACATGTGAAGTTCCGTTTGATTCACCGCAGAATAGAATTACGAACTCGACGCTTTCGTGGCACTCGAACGGAGTCCCGTAGCTCAGAATGTCCCATGGTATTGTGGGCGCGCTGTATGAGACGCTGCTGTAGTGGCGATGGTGTCTCTGTCTCGTCAGTAGGCGGCGCCTCCTCGACATCGTCGATCTCTTGAATGGGTTCTCCAAGGTCAGGTCCGGGCTCGCCAGTCTCGTCGGCCGGCGCCTCCTCGCGGTCATCGTCAACGGGGGCGAGACTGGGGCGCGCGCCGATCTTGATCTGGTCCTCGGCGATGGGTTTATAGAAATCGGTCGCGACCGCCGCTGCGTGCTCGGCGGCCATCGTGTCCGTGGTGTTCAAGAAAAAGAAATAGTTCGGCTGCACATAGAAGTCGGAGTGTTTCCCTCGCGGGTAAGTTACCAGCCCAGCTCTCTCGAGGTGTTTGACAATCCCTCTCAGGATCGCGTTGCAACACTGCGGCGCGCACTCTTGAGCCAGTCTCGTAAGCTTGCTGCCAAACACGAGGTCGCGTTCAGAACTGTGGTGCGTGCACCGCCTCGACAAAGCCTGCAACGCCTGTTCGCCGTTGCTCAAGATGCCGGTCGGCCTGCGGTTGAGCTTGCCGCCGCCAACGCGCGAGTTGAACTCGCGCATGTCGGCGTTAGACCAGCCGACGCCGTCGGGGTCAGCCAGCGCCCGCGCGCGCGGCTGGCCCCGCGATCGAGCGTGCGCGGGCTGTTCGAAGAGAAACAAACCTCCCCGCCCATGCTGGTCTGTAGCCGCGATAACACATCATGCCCAACTATCGAGTCCGATCCGCTCCTCCTGACGCTCTGGTCCCGCTTGCAGTTGGAAAGGTGCCGGATGAGGTTCGAGCTTGTTTTTTTATTGGGGGGGGTAACGCCCGTTACGGGGGGGGGGTCCGGCCCCAAGTTGGGGGTAACGGTGACGCGCGGCGGGGCCTTCGCACGGGCCCTGGTACTTATTACCGGCACAACTGTCGGCACGGTAAGCTTCGTCGTCGTCGTCGCCGCTGTCGTCGTCGAAACCGACCGTGCCTGTGCACACTACACAGGCTCTGTACACCGCGATGCCTTTGTACACCACAGCTGCAGCAGAAATGGTATGTGTGCGCACCACGGCGATTGAGCACATCATGACAGGCGGGTGCACCACAGCGCCCTTGTACATCTCACTGTTGGTGCCCACCACGGCGCCCGCGTGCACCACAGCTGCTGTTTCAACGCCCCGTGTTTGCACCAGAATGCCAGCGCACACCACAAAGCTTGCGTACACCTGTAAGGTACCGGCGGAGCGAAAGTCCAGAGGATCGCTCGGGGCCCATCCGTGGCCCCTTCAGTATGCGAGCTGCTTGTGGATCTTAGTTTTTCTGGTTCAAAAAACGCTCGGACCTGTTGAGTCCGCAGCGCCTGCGCACGCCATTGCGACTGTGTACATCATGGGAGTGTTAACCGTGGCGCCTGTGTATACCACGTGGCATGTGTGCACCACAAAGCTTGTGTACGGTTTTTTTTGGTGCGCGGTGTAAACCGCGCGCCGTGGGGGCGCGCGGGGCGGCGGCAGCATAGGGAATACAGGAAGCAGGAGCTCCATGCACAGGCACAAGGCCCTTGAGACGTGGGTCGACGGCTGGAGCGTGCACGCGGGTGCGTCGTCGTCGTCGCCGTCAGTTGCGACGGCGACCGGGGGGGCGACGGCGGCGGCGGCGGCGACACGGGCGGCGGCGACGGCGACCACGACGACGACGACGACGACGGCGGCGGCGACGGCGACGACGCCGACGGCGGCAAGCGGCGGCGGCGGCGGTGAAGGTGACCGCCGCCGCCGTCACCGCCGTCGTCGTCGCCGCCGATGCCGCCGTCGCCGTCGCCGCCGCCGCCGCCGTGTCCGCAGCCAGTTGCCGAAAGCTCCAGCAGCGCTTGGGGCCCACTTGCTGGATACACACGCGGGGGGCTGGCGTGACCACCCGCGCGAGGTAGGAGGGCCGAGCGCTGGAAGGACATGCGGCCACATCCGCGTACAGGTTTCGCCCAATCCAGCCCATTGCACCAGCACAGGGATAATGGAGGGAGGACAACGGTAGTAGTCATAACGATATTGTGAGAGTGCACCGGCTGGTTGCGCCATGGCATGCCGGATGCGTTACACCACACGTTGTGCTTGCGTACAATTACCTGCGCCAGAGGTTGAGCCGTAAGCTGCGCCATAGGATGCGCCCCCAGGGCGTGCCATAGTTTGTGCCATAGGTTGCGCACCCAGGGCACCCCACCAATCGCGCCTTACGTTGCGCCTTAGGTTGCGCCCTCAGGGCGTGCCACAGGTTGCGTCGACGGTTGCGCCACAAGGTGCGCCAAAGGCGGGGCCACTTTGTGGCGCTGCGTTTCAACGGAACTCCTGGTGCGCGCACTGTTCGGGGAAACGTCGTGCTGGCAGGCGGGAGCCGGGACTCCCGGTGCAGCCCGCAGGATAATGACAACGGACGCGGCAAGGATGACGACGACCATTCTGTGGCACCTGTGGCGCGCCACACCGCCGATCAAGTGCTAAAGCGCAGTGCCCGTTGGCACTGCCCGCAAGATTTGGCGGCGAGTCGAGTGGGGGAAATGACAAGGGGCGGGCCTTCTGAGAAGGCTCAGAAGGCCTCCGGCCTTCTGAGAAAATGTCCAAGCCTCCCCCGAAGACACGGAGGGCTTCTCTGAAGGCCAGAGGGCTTCTGAGAAGTCCCGCCGCCTTCTGAGAAGGCCTGCCCCCTCTCACTCCCCCCCTGGGCTCGCCGCCGAAAGATATCCACTGGAGGTCGCCCATGAAGCAAACAGGGCCCCCCTCCTCCGGTCCCCCTCCGATCCTCCATCCTCCTCCTCTTCCTCCTCTTCTGCCCCCTCCTCCTCCTCATGCCCCTCCTCCGATCCCCAATCACCTCCTCCTCCGATCCTGTTCCAACCCTCCTCGTCCTCCTCGTCCTCGTCCTCGTCCTCCTCCTCCTCCTCCTCCTCCCTCTGCCTCGCCCCCCCCTCCCCCCAGGAGGTGAGAGGAGGTGGGGGGCACGAGCACTGGAGGGAGTGCAGAAGCAAGGCAAAGGAGGTGGAGGGGCCAGGCCGGAACCCGTTGAAAGGTTCGCGCCGAGGGATGCGAACCTCGAACCTCGAGGAATGAGGCATCCTGGCCCTGGAGGGCCTTCGTCGTCGCCGCGGCTGGACGCGGCTCGGGAAACTGGTGCGTCTGAGACCCAGTCGGGCCCCGTGGGCCCATTTTGAGTTTGCGCCGAGGTTCGAACCTCGAACCTCGAACCTGAGCACACATGTGAGCGTCACAGCATGCCTGCCTGGACGGAAGGGGGGTCCGCACCCCCGTCCCCGTACGCTCGTTACCGTTACGGGTCCGAGCAATAAAGAAACAAGCTCCTCCAGACCTTGCGCGGCGGGTTCAGGATGAGCAAAAGCGGCTTCCCCTTCTCGACGATTACTCTCGCGCGTTGCCAGTCGGACTCCCGCGCGACATCGAAGCCCGTGGCCAGATCCATTGCGCTACCCGGTCGCAGACAATGTCGTTTGCAGTGCTGGGTAGGTCGAGGTGGGCCATGCACCTCAGTGGCGTCGATGCCCGTCTTCGTGAGCTTCGCGAGCTTCTTGCGCAGGTCTCAGCACAAACCCTTGGAGAGCGCGCCCTGCTCCTCGTTGTCGAGCAGGACGCTGGTGATCGCGCTGGCCGCCACATTGAAAATGTTGACGCAGCCAGTCGAACTCTCGACCTGGATCTCGCCGATGTAGCCCTCGTCCACCGCGCGCCAGTTCACGTAGAGGCTGCCGACCCTGTCGCTGAACAAGTCGCGCTTCTCGCAGACATCCTCGGACCCGCGGCCGAACCGCGATTGCGACTTCAGAGCTCCACTTGTCTTCGGCGGCCGAAATACAGATGGCCTCCAGCGGCATCTCCTCGTCGCTCGATGACGCGATCCTGGTCGCGCCCTCGACCGCTTCCAAGTCCACCAGGGTGTTCTGCACCGTCTGGTCGCAGCCCTTCACCATGCGCGCGTAGATCCACGCGCTGGCGGTCAGCCCGCCGTGCGTCTCGAGCATCTTGTAGCCCCTGCGCTGGGCAGCACGGCGCCGGTTGCCTGGGCGCATGCTGAGGGCGCCGTCGTGCATGGGGGGCGCGCTGGAGGTCGCGCCGCACTAGTCTTGTCGGAGCTGCCGGAATTGATCGGCGCGGGCCCCCATCTCGCTCCGCACTTCGCGCGCAGCTCGAAGTCGCCCTTGTCGCTGCCCCCCGGCTGCAGCCTGTCCTCGAGGCTGGGCGGCCGCGTTGTTGCGGCATGCGCGATGTCTCGAGGCTCTTTCGCTCGCTGTCTCCCAGACGCACCCCTCGCACAAAGGTCGCCGGCTACGCCGCGTCGGCGCTGGAACCAGAGCAGCCGAATGCAGCGCCAGAGCCCGGGCGCCAGCCAGAGACGAGAGCCCCGAACGAGGGCCGGGAGAAAGCAGCCCCCGTGGAGCAGATGACATGGCGAAGCATGCGCTTCCACGACTGCGGCAGAAAACGCTTGTAGCCCTTGCTTTTTTTGCGGTCCAATTTCGGGTCGGCTCACTCCTGGAGGGCCTGGCCCAGAAGGTCCATCTGTCGCCGTTGTTGACAGGGGTGCCGCCGCGGGCGGCCGGGGCATGGAAGCCGCCCCAGATGCGGAATGGGCGGCCCCAGCCAGAGACTCGAGAACAACTGGCGAACAACTGCGGAGAGTCGGATGTTCTTGAACCCGGTTGTCCAATCTCCTGCTCTTTATGTGATCTTGTTTGTGGTTCGTCTAAGACCGTTATTGCTATTCCTGGCGCTGCTTTCGTTTTGTATATGTATTGCTGTACTGGATAATTTGGAACTGCTGGTGTTCGTATATGTGTTGCTGTACTCGTTATCGTTGACACTGCTGGCGTTTGTATATGCGTCGCTGTGCTTGTTGCATCTGATGCTGCAGATGCTTGGCTCGCTGAAGCTGTGGGGACTGGAGCTGATGCGGATGCCGATGCTGAGGCTGGTGGCGTCGGCGATGGCGTCCGCGCTGATGTCGCGGCGCAACCTCAATCACGGCCAATGATGAAGCGGCATCCTGTGCAGTCCCTGGCTCGCGCCATCCTCCGGGCAAGAACTCGATGATGCTGATGGCCACGTGGCCATTGGCACCGATGATGCGAAGCCATGCGCCCGCGCCGAAACTTGCGAACGTATTCCTGGTCGCCTGAGTCACGCAGCTTGAGATTCATCTCCATGGCGCGAGTGAGTCCAACAGCTAGCAGCGATGGAGCTGGTTCGCCAACCACGCGAAAATATATGATGCCGTTGACTCCTACAATGCCCGCCGGAACTCCCAGTCGTCCAATCAGGCGCGCATCCCCGCGCATTCCGCGCGGTGGCGGGCCCTCGTCTGGAACCCAGCGCGGCTGAAGGCCAAACTCCTCGGTCCTCAAGCTTCGTGCTCGGCGCCCGCGGCTGCTCATTGCCGACAACGCCGTCCTGCGCGCCCGCGTCCACGAGCACTTCGCAGGCGCTCAGGGCGATACCGATGAACGCCGAGGTCGCGCCGGTGAAGAACCCGGCAGCACCCTCGGCAGGAGGCGGGCGCGGCCTCGTCGATATTGAACCTTAACCCGATCGACGCATCCATCGTGGACGCTCCGAGCGCCAGTCGCTGCGGCGGCCCCTTTGACGGACGCCCCCATTGCCCAATGACCAACCTGCTTGCGCGTGGCGCGCCACGCACGCAACGTCGGCTGCTCGATCGAGATCTGGCGCATCTGGCCCCTCCTTGCCCGCGCGGCCCTCGCCGCCGGAGCCCTGGGGCCCTCGGTGAAACCCCGGCAGCCGCCCGAGGGTGATGACGGCCGATCCGGATGAAAGAAGCCTCTTGCCTTCCGAGCCCTGTTCAGCTGTTTCCGCGCATTCTTGCGCTCTGCGGGGCAGCTCGTCGCCGCTCGCATATCCAGCAGCGCCCATGGTATATTGATCTTCCTCATCAGCGGCACCTTCGATCCACTCCACATCAATGTAGATGCCCTCGATCGGCTCCGAGCCTAGAACCGGCGGCACACCTTCGTTATCCTCGCAGCCGTCGCCCTCGCAACCGACCATAGCTCGTCAGTGGCATTCGTCATGGCCTGGTCGATCGGCGGCGGTGTTATGTGAATTGCGTCCTCGCCGTCCTGGACGAGGTGTGTCTCGGAGGCAAGGCCTGTGGTAGGACGTGGGAGTCCAGATCGTCGATCTGACCGGTCGAGTCGAACCAGCGTCTTCGCTACCTGGTCCACCTGATACGTCCCGTCGGTCCAGCCGATGACTTTGCCACATGATCTCTCGTTGAGCCTGGCAAACCGCAGCGTCGAATAACCTTTGAGCGCGTCCAGCAAAACAATCTTCAGTCGCTCGAGCGCCGTGAACTCGAGCCGTCTTCGGTTGGCGAAGGTACCGTGGGGGGGAAACGCGGTTCCGATGCCAACTGAGAACTGGTTAAGACGGAAAAATGAGGTCGCGGACCTTTTCTCCACTGCGCACGCATTTGAAACAAGCTGGTTGCGGTCACTCGCGCTCCCTCGAGTCCTCACGCAATGGCCAAATCTGGACTGGGGCGGGGACAGGAATCAATATTACTCAAATGAGGACGACGAGGAGGAGGAGGAGGAAGAGGAGGAGGAGGAGGAGGAGCGAGGAGGGGGAGGGGGAAAAGGTGCGCTTGGGGATGAGAGGAGGAGGAGGCAGGAGGAGCAAGCAATAAAGATGTTGCACGAGATAGAAGAGCTGCGAGGAGGAATGGGCGGAAGAGGGAGAAGGAGGATGCAGCGAGAGCATAATGAATCTACATTGACCAGAAGGAGAGGAAAAAGAGAAGGAGGAAGAGGAAGGCCGAAACTTCTGATATTGTTTGTTTCACAACGTGGCCCCCCAAACCTCAAATAGTCAGGACTCTGGACCCCTTCCCAGGGTCCCGCGTCTCATCCCGAGTCGTGCTCTGACGGTCCCGCCTGGAGCCCGTCGAGGGACCCTCGCGTCGTTTTTTCTGCGCAGCGGGAAACCGAAAGGTACCGATACCGCTACTGCCCGGACCTTGTCTGGGGTGCATTCTGACCAAGACTTCGAGGCGAACCCAGCCGTGGCGGCGAGGGCCTCCCAAGGTTGGCGGTATCAGCACCTTGTCCTCCTCCTCCTCCTCCTTCTCCTCCTCCTCCTCTGAGGATTGAGGCCTCGCAACTGGGGTCCGAGTAGATGGAGTCGGAGGATCGCGCCGCATAGCCGATGCATCGGTGATGCGGCGCGATCCTCCAAACCCATCCACTCCGACACCATCTGGGAAGCCTAGAGAAGGGGGAGGAAGAAGAAGAGAGGAAGGAGGAGTAAGAGGACGAGGACGAGGATGAGGAGGAGGACGAGGAGGAGAACGAGCAAGGGGAGGATGATGCCTGCTGCTGCTGAACCGGCACGAACTGCCAAGGCTGCTGCGGGGGCCCGGCCATCTCGCCCGCAGTGGACACGGGGACGAGGACGGTTCCCGGCGGGACCTGCTGGGGAGAGAAGGAGGAGGAGGAGGAGGAGGAGGAAGAGGAGGAGGAGGAGGAGGAGGAGGAGGAGGAGGAGGGGGAGGAGGGGGAGGAGGAGGAGGAGGAGGAGGAGGAGGAGGAGGAGGAGGAGGAGGAGGAAAAGGAGAGGAACAAGAGGGCGTTTTCGAGGTTCGAGGTTTTCGCGCGGTTCCGTCGGATCTCGCAGTTCGTCAGCCCTGGAATGCTATCCAGCAGCTGCGCCTCGCCGAAAGCGTTCCGGGGGTGCCCGGATCCGAACGGCCGCTGAAGGCAACGTGATGGCCCGAAAAACATTCAGGATGGGGCTAGGACAGCACCCAGCGGGACCTGCAGGAGGAGCAGGAAGACGCAGAAACATGCTCGCGTCGTGGGCAAAACATCACGACGGAATGTGTTTTGCAACTTCTGGCCTGTAGGGGGGCTCGCTGGCCTGGGCACTGTTAACGAAAACGATTCAGGACGAAACGCTGATCCTGGGGAGGCGGTCTAGACCTCCAGGGCTCAACATTGCGCAACAATCACGGCGTCGCACGTCTGGGAGAGAGGGAGGAGCAGGCTGAGGGTCGAGAAGGAGCTGGGAGAGAACCGAGGAGAAACCTTTCTCCTCGTTCCCCTCCCTGCCCATGCTCTGCCTCATCCTGCTGCTCCTCCTCCTCCTCCTCCTCCTCCTCCTTTCCTCCTCCTCCTCCTCCCAATCCCTCCTCCTCATCCTTCGCCTCCTGCTCCTTCTCCTACTTTTTCTCCTCCTCCTCCTCCGCCGCCTCCTCCTCTCCCTCCTCCTCCTCACGATTTCCCTCCGCCTTTCCATCCTCCCTCGCCCTGTCAAAAGGGGGGGCAGGAGGAGGGAGGAGGGCGGTGAAGGCCTGCATCCCAGCGGGGAGCACGCAGATCACGCAGCCGGGGGGCGGCTGGCAGAACCCGTCGTAGCTGGAAGCCGACTGGAAGAAGCCATCGCCTGGGTACACCTGTTAGGAGGCAACTCCTGGGAGATATTCGTCAGACAGGTAAAGGCTGTCAAACCTGGGTAGGAAACCATTGAACTGAATACGTCCAGATTGAGCCCTGGATTTAGTGGGGGTAAGCCAGATAAGGCGGGATAGAATTGGATCTAACAGAACAAAACAAATTCGGCCCATTCTCGACCAGGGAAATGCCCGCGCCGATCCAGAGCTTCACCTCCCAGGCGTGACATCCCAATTCGCCTTGGCGACGAAAAGAATGGCCCTACGCTCGACTCAGATCTCTGACGATATGACATGTTTTTTTCGATCGCGGCATCTCTAAATGAGCGCGTTGTTCACTACTCGCAGAAGTAACTACTCGCAAATGGCCTGGATTCGCCGCGGTGGATCCACGATCCACTACATTGAGGCAAACACATGTTTTTTGTCAGACGTTTGCGAGTAGGCACTTTGCGAGTAATGGAACGCGCTCAATGATTCTCCTTCGTTTCGGCCTCCGGGGGCCAAGCTTCGGGCCAGGAAGCCATCCGAAAAAGTTTCCGGCCGAACACGTGCGCCCGGGGAAGCGGTCGGGGCCCCTGGGTGCGCGGATGGGAGCAGAAGGCACATCGGCGGATGTCTGGGGAAGACATGGTGGGGACAGCGCGTATACACAATAAAAGGTTCCTGTCCAACGGGGTAAACGTATATTGTCAAATTTTCCGGCCTGCTCTCCAGGCGACGGGTGAAAAAATGCATCTACCGTGCTTGGGTCGCCATCTGCCACTGAGTGTGGACATGCATGCCGTAGTACCCATCGGTCGGAAGAAGTAGGTAGAAACGAGAAGTAGGAAGGCGTTGAACATAGACTGGGTTCCGTCCGCCCCCTTGGGAGCACGGAAGAGTGAAGCCACTCGATCATTGAAGTAGGAAGGCGCTAAAAGTGGATCGGAATCTGGGAATCCAAAAATACCTGCTTTCAATGACCGATGGGCATGGCGGGCATGGTCTTGGCCCCGGGATGCCTGGGGAGGGTCTGGCGCCCCACCCGCATGGCTCACGCACGCCGCCCGCGCGGAACACCGCGTGGCAGGCGAGAAGGGCGCTCTTGCCTGCGGGGGCCTCGACGCGGGAGGCCTCGACGCGCGGATCCCCCCTGTTTCGCCAGAAGGAGACATGTTGGCCAGCGTGGGCCCCGAGCAGCGAGCTCTTACAATATGTGCGGTGCAACGCGGAGCAACGCAATGCCGCGCAGACCATCGCAAAGCGATGCAGACCAATGCCAAGCAATGCAAGGCACCGCAAACCAATGCAACGCAACACGGAGCCAGGCAATGAAATGCAACGCAACGCACTGCCATGCAGACCGAAGCACTGCAACACAGTGCAGAACATTGCAAAGTAACGCAACGAGCGAATGCATTGCAACACGGTGCAGAACATTATGCACACATTGCAAACCGAAGCATTGCAACACGTGCACAATCCAAATCTTGACCAAAGACGCTCTCGACGGGCAGCGACGGGCGGCCACAAGCCGGCCCGACCGACAACTGGCGACGGGCGGACACAAGCCGGCCGGGCCGGCAACCAGGCCCAGCACCTTATAGAGGACAAGTGGTACACTCTAGCGGCAGTCACCGTTTGGGAAACAAGCGGCATAAACTGTCGGAGATCCGCGCGGACTTCTTGGAGCGGGACTGGTCCCCCCTACTTTTCGCACGGAGCGCGCCAGGGGCGGCGCTGGAGGCGCCGCCAGGGGGTTCCGCCGCAGATGCAAGATATACGCGCGGAGTTTCGAAAGCTTGTGATTATCACGCCACTTCGACTCTGTCAGACGGGTGTAGTGTAGAGACTGATGCTGTGCCTAAGAATCGGCCTGAGCGTAACCGAAAATGACGCCCGAAGCTGTCCGAACGCGGCCGAGCATGACCGAGATGTACTCGATACGAAGTTGAAGGTCGGTCACACTTTGGGTCACACTTGTCGAGCAAATTTTCGGTCACGGGCTCTTCGCGATCACAAGCCCTTTGTGCGAGGCGGGGATTTATCCATATCCACCGCCTGGGAACCGACATCCTGGTGCCCCAGCGGGCGGTGGATATGGATATATTTCGGCCCCCGGGGGCCCGATATGTCCATATCCACCGCCTGCCGAGGCTCCGAAAACTGACCCTCCAGGCGGTGGACATGGATAAATTCCCGCCTTGGACTTTGGGCTGGTGGGGGCCGGGCGGCATGATGCTCATCTACTTTTCTCTCATTCGAGGCTCTGCGTCGCACACCTGTCCCTGGATGACCTGCGCGGGCATGGGCTCCATGGTCTGCATCATCGAGACGACAGCCAGCGAGCAAAATTCGGTCCCGCTGGCAGCTGCGAGCCGTGGCCTGAAGCCTAAACATCCGCGGCTGCCTGCCCCCCCCCCCCCCCCCCCACGGCTTCCCTGCATCCTCCCTCCCTCCTTGCCGCCCCTTCCTCCCACTCCCTCGCTTCCTCCGCCCCTGCCGCCCTTGGAATCATCCTCTTCGTCCTGTTCACTTCGTTTTCATATCCTCCTCCAAATCCTCATCCCTTGCTCCCACCAGGTCGACTCCTCCCTCCGTCCTGTACTAAGGCTGGGAAAACAAATTGCGGATTTCCGCAACCTTGAATCCAAACATCTTGCCATCTCTCGGGGGCTGCTTTTTCCCCAAACAGCTTGCTGGACGGGGTGCTGTTGTGATAGAAGCTAACTCCGGCCGAGGGAATTCAAAGCAGAGACGTCTTCAAACAAATGTGGTCCGGGCCGTTTCGCCTGAGGCATCCTCGCAACTCTGAGCTCCCAGATGCCGCGAGAGAGGTGGTCCAGCTCGTTTCGCCTGAGACATCCTCGAAACTCTGAGCTCCACATCCTCCAAACTCTGAGCTCCCAGATGCCGCGCGAGGGGTGGTCCGGCCCGTTCCGCGTGAGACATCCTCCAAACTCTGAGCTCCCAGATGCCGCTCGAGAGGTGGTCCGGCACGTTTCGCCTGAGACATCCGCGAAACTCTGAGCTTCCAGATGCCGCGCGAGGTGGTCCGGCCCGTTCCGCCTGAGACATCCTCCAAACTCTGAGCTCCCAGCTGCCGCGCGAGAGATGGTCCGGCCCGTATCGCCTGAGACATCCTCCAAACTCTGAGCTCTGAAATGCCGTGCGCGAGGTGGTTCGGCGCGTTTCGACTGAGACATCCTCGAAACTCTGAGCTCTGAGCTGCCGCGCAAGAGGTGGTCCAGCCCATTTCGCCTGAGACATCCTCGACACTCTGGGCTCCGAGATGCCGCGCAAGAGGTGGTCTGGCCCGTTTCGCCTGAGACATCCTCCAAACTCTGAGCCCTGATATGCCGTGCGCGAGGTGGTCTGGCCCGTTTTGCCTGATACATCCTCGCAACACTGCGCTCTCTGATGCCGCGCGAGAGGTGGTCCGTCCCGTTTCGCTTGAGACATCCTCCAAACTCTGAGCCCCGAGATGCCGCCCAAAAGGTGGTCTGGCCCGTTTCACTTAACAAATCCTCCACTTTTGCATTCCGAGATGCCGCGCGAGAGGTGGTCCAGCCCGTTTCGTCTGAGACGTCCTCGAAACTCTGAGCTCTGAGATGCCGCGCGCGACGTGGTCTGGCCCGTTTCGCCTGAGACATCCTCGAAACTCTGAGCTCTGAGCTGCCGCGCAAGAGGTTGTCCAGTCCATTTCGCCTGAGACATCCTCCCTCTCTGACCTCGGAGATGCCGCGCGCGACGTGGTCCAGCCCCTTTCGCCTGAGACAACGCTCCGTGAGGAGCCTACTTCGGTGACGAGCGACGCCCCCGTCTTGCCCCACGTGTGGCCGCGGCTTCTCCGCTCCCTCCCGAAATTCGTTCCTTCTCCTCCTCCTCATCCTCCTCCTTCTCCTCCTCCTCCTCCTTCTCCTCCTCCTCCGTTCCCCTTTCCTTTCCACATCCTCCAACTCCTCCTCCTCCTCCTCCTCCTCCTCCTCCTCCTGTTCCTCCTCCTGTTCCTCCTCCTCCTCCTCCTGTTCCTCCTCCTCTTCCTCCTCCTCCTCGCTCGCGTGCTCGCTCTAAGGACGTTGGTCTTGGCCGCCCATCTAAGTGAAAGGAAAAACAAGGACAGGGGGGGGGGAGAAAACAGAGCAGCAATAGTCAGGGGTCGAGTCGCCAAATTTTGCCATCCCCCTCCGACTCCACTTCCGCCGAGACACTAAGCATGGCAGGCGCCAGATGCAGCACAGACCTCAGGCATACACACCTCAACGCATACACACCTCAGCGCATACCTCCTCCTCCTCCTCCTCCTCCTCCTCCTCCTCCGTGCCTCCTTCGCCTGATCCCCTCGACGCTCCGACTGGACCCTCCTCCTCCTCCTCCTCCTCCTCCTCCTCCTCCTCCACCGCCGCTCCCGCGGGGTCCACCGCAGCGCCCGCCTCCCCGGGCCGAGGAAGCCCTGCTTTGGTATTCTGCAGCTCGTACCTCTGAAACTCTCGGCCAGGGCAGCTGCTCGACTCAGTTGCTCGGCTCTCGACCCAGTCACCTGCACGAGCTGAATGCAGCCATCGCGCTACCACGGGAAACGCCGAACAAGGCCCGAAGAGACTCTTCTGGGCACGGCGAGCCTCGGCCACGAAGTGGGGTCCCCTGGCCCAAACCCAGGGAGCGGCCCAGAACTCCAGAGCCCCTGCTGAGCCCAGCGTGGTCCCTTTCGGCGCCCTGACTGTAAATCAACTCGTTTCCAACTCATCTGCAACACCGCCCCCAATAAGTAAGTATTCCGTGGCATCTGAATCTTGCCGTTCCACTGCGGTGTCTACGTTGGTGTCTGCGCTGAAAATATTGAATTGTGGATGGTGGAAAACAACTCTTGACCCAGTTTGTGGTGCAAATTCCGTCCCATGGGTTCCCTCTTGCTGTCCTTGGGGCCCGGCCCACTGTGGCAGCGTATGCGATCTGTCCTTGCGGGTAGGGTGCGCAAGCGGAGCCACTTCCTAGGCTCACGCCTGGTGAGCCCACGACTG